TGAGCCCCGGGCCCGCCCGCTGATGTCATCCCCCCGCCCGCCGCCGCCCCGGCGCGCTTAAAGGGCCCGCGACCTCGGTTCCGGGCCGGAGCCGCCGCCAGGACACCTCACCTCCGGAAGAAGCACCTCGCGGGGACGCGGCCTCACACACCGACGCTGACACCCTGAGACAGTTTAAGGCGCCGGCTGCTAAAGGGATGTGGGAGGAGGGGGAGAGGAGAGCGCGCAAAACGCTGGGGCTCTGCAGACCCAATGCCTCCTCTCCCCACTGCGAAGGCCGGTGGATATGCGTGTTACTGCAAAAGACTTGTTGGGGGTTCTAAGGGGGGGCAAGGAGCACAGGCCAGGTTGATTAGGGGCCATGGATTTGATAAGACAGAAGGAGATGGAGGGATGTGAAGAAAGGCCCAAGGGGGCCTGAGCTCAGCTCCTTCAGCCCCCATGGAAAAATCAAGGGCAAAATCCTTTCCTTCTTTCCTCTTCCGGCCTGGGGGCTCAAACATGGGCACAGAGCAGACCCTCCGGCCTTAATCGTGTTCTCTTTTGCTGAAAGGACAGCCACTGAGCCAATACTTGACTCAGGGTCCCAAGTGGGGTATGTTTAGCCAAGTCACCTTCCTGCTCTGGGTTTGGGTTTCTGTTCTGCAAAACAGAACTATCCACCCCTCCCTTAATTTGTCACTAGGCAAATTAATTAAGGTTTTCTACCAGCTTCCAGACCAGCTGATGAAAGCTTCCAGGGTAGGGTTATTAGGGAGATGATATTTACACGGTGCCGTGCAAAGCTCCAAATTATGACACATCCATTCACATATACAACGTGACTGCGGACACACACATGGCATCCCTCCCCAGAAGCACTGCTGGGAAGAGTCAGATACAGTAACCGCATCTTCCCTGGAGCCTGAGGAGTCTAGTAACCCACCGTCTACACGGGCAGGAACCCCACAGACGAGCTGGACAAGCCACTTTTTTCACCTGGCAGGGAACTGTGTGGTCCAGAGAGGGGCAGGGGCTTGTCCGGGACCACACAACATGCCCAGACTACACTGTTCTCCACAGGTCCCTGGACTCTGTCATGAGCCCATTCCCAAGATCAGGAGCATAAGCAGCCTTCTCCCTGGGGAGGTGGCAACAGCCACTGGGGACCTGCCTAGGGACCCCTGCTCCTGTGCTGTGCATGGTAGTTTTTGTTTTGTTATTTTTATTTTATTTTTGTTAATTGATTTTGCAGTGCTTTAAAACTCCCTGAATTTGTGATAACAAACATTAATCTATGGGTAATACATGGGTAGACAGGCTGAATGATCAGATATGTCTATGCAAAAGGGAATATACCCATGACCATATACAAGGTTGGCAGATAGTGTATCTACATATATATTTGTGTGTGTTATAAGAATGTTCATATAAATAGAACAGGGGTAAACTTAGGATAACTTCCTAGGCACAGGCTTCCTGATGGAGCAAGTTGTTGGACCTGTGGGCTTTGGACCATGGTCAAGGAGTATGTTAAGTTCAATTGGTATAACATACTACACAAAAACATTGTTCTACATCCTACTTTAATGAGTAGCAACTGTTGCTGTTATGTGCCATCGAGTCAAACCCGACTCATAGCGACCCCTCCTTGGGTTTCCGAGGCAGTATCACTACAGAAGTAGGATTGCCCAACCTTCCTTCCGAGGAGTGGCTGGTGGGTTTGAACCGCCAGCCTTCTGGTTAGCAGTCAAGTGCCTTAGGCACTATGCTACCAGAGCTCCTGAGTAGCAACTAGGGTGTTAAAAACGTTCGAGCAGCCATCTAGATGCAACAGTGGGTCTTTCCTCCTCCTCCAGAGCAAAGAAGAATGAAGAAAACCCAAGACACATGGAAACAATTAGTCCAAGGGATAAGTAGACCATGTGAACCTCAACCTATATGACCATGAGACCAGAAGAACTAGATGGTGCCCAACCACTGTCAACCACTCAGAAAGGGATCAGTGCAGGAGATCCTGGATAGAGCAGGAGAACAATGTGGAACAAAACTCAAAATCATAAAATCGTTTTTAAAAAAAAAAAAAAAAACAAGACCAGGTTTACTGGTATGACAGAGCCTGGTGAGACCCCCAAGACTATGGCCCCTAGTTACAATTCAGGTCTGGAACTGAACTCACTCCCGTGGCTTCCAGCCAAACAAGAGACAGGCATATAGGGTGAACAGTTACACCAGGTAGATACACTCCTTAGAACCATCGATCATGGGAGAACAGAAGAGCAGTATTTGCACAGGGAGACAGCTCAGGGGGCAGAATACATAGGAAACAAGGACTCAGAGAAGCGGAGGAAGTGGGAAGAGAGCTGTTACATTGTGGGGACTGCAATCAATGTCACTAAACAAAATGGGTATGAGCTGCTGTATGGAAAATGAATCTGCTCTGTGAACTTTCACCCAAATCACAATGAAACAAAAAAAAACCCACCTCCCTGAATTTACAAGAATCTATAATCTATAAGAATCACCTGGGGAGGTCACTACACTGTAGATTTTGACTGAGTGTATCTGGGGTGGGAATGCAAATTCTTAGCAAGAGGTTGACTAAGAATGAACCTGTGGGAAGCCCTATATGCTTGCTTTTTTTTTTTTTTTTAAAGTTGTGATCTGGGTGACAGTTTACAGATCAAATTTGTTTTCCATTCAACCCATTTTGTTTCAAGACATTGATTGCAATCCCTACAATGTACCAGTGCTCCTCCCACTTCCTCTCGGTGGTTACCTTTTCCCATGTCCTTCCTTCCTATGCATTCCTGCCCTCTGAGCTGTCTCCCCTTACAAATGCTGCCCTTCTGACCTCCCACTCTTGACTGTTCTCTAAGGAGTGTACCTACCCGGTATAACTGTTCACCTCATGTTGTTGTTATTGTTGTTTGCCGTCGAGTCGGCCCCGACTCATAGTGACCCCTCCTTGGGTTTCCGAGGCAGTATCACTACGGAAGTAGGATTGCCCAACCTTCCT